TGTTCGTTGCATAGAAAAGCAGGAGGGATAACTTTATTTTAACTCGGGGATTTTAGGTATCGAGGGTGAGCACGAGATACGAGACGAAGCTGGGAGACTTGTTGYGATCCTGAGAGCGGTCRTAGACGAGTGATTGATTCTTTCATAGGTCCGGGCTGCGGATACTTTCATAGGTCTGGGCTGCGGATTCTTCCATAGGTCCGGGCTGCGGATACTTTCATAGGTCCGGGCTGCGGATTCTTTCATAGGTCCCGGCTGCGGATTCTTTCATAGGTCCGGGTTGCGGATACTTTCATAGGTCCGGGCTGCAGATTCTTTCATAGGTCCGCGCTGCGGATTCATTTATAGGTCCAGGGTGTCGGTGCTGACTCACTAAATCGGAAGAGGGGAAAGTATATGGAATCTGATACGATGGGGCCGCATCCAGACGAGGAATAGGCGGTGTATCGAGCGTCGCCAGATCGGGCCCCGCGAGACCTCAAGGAGCGTCTTCGACAGAATGCCCTTCTGAGGTGTGTAGAGCAGCCGGACGACGGCGAGCCCGAGGTGATGACACCTCCTGCCGTTACCGAGCCCAACAGGGCTGTGCCAATAGAACGACCGGAGATACAGACCGAGACTCCGAGTTTTCGACGTGAATCGTTTATTCAACGCTCATCTGTGTATGAGCGTAGGGAGGATAGAGGCTACTTAGGGGGAGAAGACTGGAGGGACCAGTTTAATAGAGAACAGTTATTGAGGGATAGAGAGAGAGAGAGAGAGAGTCGCCATGGCCAGACGGATTTTTGACCCTGAGACGGGGGAATCACATCCCCTGCCATATGAGGCGAGGGATAGAGTCATCATCCCGCATCAGACTTCGGAGTTACATTCCAGGCCTCCTGTTTTTTTGGGATGCGGTATCACTGAATACCTTGAAAAGTGGGAACTACATGCCTATCGGAGTCAGTGGGCTGAGAGCGAGATTATAGATAACTTCTTGTTTAACGCCGATCCAAGTCTGAGCCGGGTTATAAAGGAAGCCTGACCAAGAGACAGGAGGTGGGCTACGTATAAGAGCAGCCTTTACGAGCTTTTCAAGTTAGAAGACGTTAAGTATTCGATCCAGGATTTAAGGGCATTGACTTCGAGAGAGGGCAAGAGTGTCCAAGCATTTGGTATGCGTTTTCAGAAGGTATCCGATGCCCTTATGACAAGGGGGAAGTTATCGGAAGTAGAGAGATGCACTATCTTTCTCTGTAAACTGACAAAAGGGAAGCGAAAGGCGATATTGAGGGAGACGCCTCACGATAAGTTGGAATTCTTGGCGTTGCTTAAGCTGTCCATGAAAGCGACAGCCGATGATTATAAGGATTTGCTCTGGAGAGGCATGCAGCGCGAGGATTATTCCTTTTACAAGGAGTATGGGACTGATAGGTGCCCTGATTTCAACGACAAGCCTTCGGCAGAACGACGATATTTGATGGACTGGGATAAATCCCATCGGTCAGGGGATAACGACGCGGTAATAGAGGAGATGCAAGAAAAGATGAAGGAAATGGCCAGGCAAATGGCGAATTTTGAAACGAAGGTCGGAACTACGTACCGGGACAAGCCTGGATCTCCCTACTCTCTGCRATGGGATCGTCGGAATACCGACCCATGGAGAAGCGTCGAAGACMGTAACCCTCGGACGCTGGCCGACTATCGCGCGAGGGAAAGAGATGGGGACGAGAGGCGACGTAGAGATGAAGAGGATCGCAGACGTAGGGATGAGGAGGATCGAAGGCRCAGAGAAGAAGACRACCGAAGACGTAGAGAGGACGAAGAGAGGAGGCGCAGGGATGAAAATATAGAAAGAGACCGCCATCGTGATGKGTATCGAGGGGGAGATTCTTRCATTCGAGGAGACAGAGCCGACCAGTATCCGYKCAGTCCCAGAGACCAGTACTCGCGCAGTCCCAGATACGGTGGGAATGCCGAAGGGTACCGGAGCCCGGRCAACTTTMACTYGAGGGATAGAGAGGACTCCCGCGGTCGATGGGAGTCGGATAGGGACCRCCGAGATGGATATCGAAGCGGTTACGAGCGGACAGAGAGAGGTGGCGATCGTAGGGAAGAGCCACGCAGACAGYACGAGAGAGGAGGGTATCCCGCRTTGCCAGGATATCCCAAATCCCCAAACTATCCTAGATCCCCTGGGCCATCCAACCAGGATGTGAGACGACCGGCTATTAAGTCCGYAGAGGAACGACCCCCTACACCTAGAAATTCCTGWATCTACTGTAGGGGAGACGACCATCTCAAGAGAGACTGTTCTGACCTCAAACRGGCGATAGATGAGGGGCTTGTCGTACTTGATGATCRCAAGTACGTCAAGTGGGCGGATAACCTCGGAGATGTGTCGATGTTTCCTTCAATGAAGGAGAACGTGGAAGCTAGGCGAGTAGTACCAAACAAGGGTAAAGGGGTTGCGAGGAGCCAGAGCGTGAGGCTGAGCCTACCTTTTGAAGAGGAGGCTCCCATGACGCCCATACGGGTGGCGGCTACAAAGTCCTTTAGGCCTTCCTCCTCAAAGAAGGCCGACACTGACTATGTGATGGCGGAGAAGGACGGACAGAGGATTGAAGGAGAAGAAGTTATACTTTCCCCATGCAAACGTGGAACCAATAAGTTTACGATGAAGAGTACTCTAGATGACATAGATACGGTTGAGCCTCTGAGGCGAGCACTTAGGCAGCCAATGCAGTGCACGATACTCGAGTACTTGGCTGCTTTGAGGCCTGAGCGAGATGATTACGCGTAAACACGTATTCCTCTGAGCGACGAAGTCCAGAAGGTGACCAAACAGGAGGAGATACGCATTGTTGCTGTATCAAGTGTGGTCGCTAAGGCGGATCATGTTGCGACGGTGTTCTTAGATGGGATGGAAGCAGTGTCTCCTGACAAGTTTTACATTCTAGGCAGTGGGACAGTAGAGACTACCCTCAACGAAGGGTGGTCCTTCATGCCGTAATAGATAACGACAGCGAGGCTGTCATTATAACCGAGGGTCTGGCGGTCCGATTGGGATTAGAATTGGATAGGTCGTATCAATTTAAGATAGAGACCGCTGATGGGATGAAGCAGAAGGTCGTCGGAGTTTGTCACAAGGCAGCAATCGAGGTCGAAGGACTGAGAGTGATGCTGCCTGTTTTCGCCGTTCGGGATTGCAGCGCAGAGTTATTATTGGGGCGGACATGGCTAAGTCACGTCCATGCCGTTATTATAGAACGACAGTATGGAAGCCAGATGCTCTCCATCAAGCGTCCAGACGGTGGGCGAATTATGATGGAGACGGTAGAGCCTCCTGACCCGAGGAACAGAGCGGTTCTTGCAGCAGGGGGCCACGTACCGATCCCCCTTGCGAGTCAGTCCCTGAGCTTTCACAAAAAGAAGTATGGGCCCTTGCTTACGGAGGAAGAAGGTCGGATAGTGGAAATCGAAGACTTAGGAACTCGTGTCCGTGTCGGAGAAAACTCTTATCCTAAGGCAGACGACGAAGAGTTCAGAGGAATGATTTCCGTGTCTTTTTTAAGGGCGCACCCTACGGGGGGCGACCAAAAAGGCACAAGACAGTAGCTCAGAAGGTTAAGCCGGCGGCCGTAGCTCGAGAGCGATCCGCATTGGATGGAGTATCTTAAGAAGAGATCGTTAGAGAGATAAAAGAAAAGAAGAGAAAGGAGCCACAACGGCTGACGGAAAAAAGGATAGCGGAGATGGACATAGGAGATGGGAACTGAACTGAGCCGGAGAAAGAGCGAGTGTTGGAAGTTCTTAAGTCCTGCGACAAAGCTATAGCATTTATTGATGCAGAAAGAGGAAGGATTGATCCTAGATATGCTAAGCCTGCAAGGATTTACACGATTCCGCATACACCATGGAATGACGCCGGGTGGAAGTTTGCTCAGAAAAGAGGAGGAAGAGGTGATCTCCTTTCTCAAAGAGAAGATGGCGTCACACGTAGCTGAACCATTTGATAGCGCGTATGCGAATGGATGGTTCTTCTTAAGAAAACCTAATGGAAAGATTCGGTGGATTCAATACCTTCAGAAGGTCAACGCTGTGACTATTCGGGATGTAGACTCCGTACCACACGCCGATCTATTAACAGAAGGAGCAGCAGGCAGATCCATTTATTCTGTTTGCGATTTATTTTCAGGGTATGACGAGATACCCCTAGATCCGAGGGATAGGCACCTCACAGCCATGCACACACCACTCCAATTAGTGCAGATGATGGTCGTCCCGATGGGATGGACCAATGGGGTAGTGGTCTTTTAGAGACCCATGGTAGCGGTTCTGAAAAACTTTATCCCTGATAAAGTACAAGTTTTCCTGAACAACTTTCTGATAAAGGACCGGTACAGAAAGACGAAACGGAAGTCGCTCCTGGCGTCAGGAGGTTCGTAGAGCAACACCTGACGGACATTTACGCTGTTCTCGAACAATTGGATGAAGCTAACCTGACGGTTAGCGGGACTAMGAGTCGATGGGCCGTATCAACGATTAAGATTCTGAGATTTATATGCAACGCGAGAGGCCGACKACCCGACCCTGGGAAGCTGGAAAAACTGTTGAATTGGTCGACTCCTTTCCACAATGCAACTGAAGTTCGCCAGTTTTTAGGCATTGGTTGTTATTGGCGGATCTTCGTACGAGGATATGTAGAAAAGGAAGAGCCTCTACGTATACTTCTTAGGAAGACCGAGAAGTTTTACTGGGATTCTTCTCAAGAGCTTGTAGTGCAATCCCTCAAGGAAGAATTTAGAGAAGGCGCCCGAATTCTAGGTGTGCCGTTCTTTGAGGACGAGACGGACAGACCGTTCATAGTATCTACGAATGCTGGACCATGTTCGGTAGGGGGATCGCTATCTCAGAAGGATGCTGAAGGGAAAGAAAGACCATTGAGATTCGAGAGCCGAACACTCAACACTGCTGAACGCAACTACAGTCAATTTAAGAAGGAAGTGTTGGCTGTTTTATTGCTTGGATACCGTTAGGCATTACATATATGGAAGACAATTCGTTTTTAGGGTAGACCCTACAGCTGTAGCTTCAGTCCTGCAGAAGGATTTCACTTTGACGGATCCTACGATCGCACGATGGCTGGTCAGGATTCGACTTTATGACTATACTGTAGAGAGGATTTCAGGGGCGAAGAACGCGGTAGCCGATGAACTTTCACGAATTCCCATKGACACGGAGCGACCGATATCGGTTGCGGCTCCGACTATGACCGAGCCTAGACGAGCGGATCACTTCCTAGTTAATCTCTATGAAGGTAAGTACCGCGCTATAGGACTACACCTGTAAGGGGAGGAGAGTTCCGACTCGGAGATTCGGAGACAGGCAGCACARTACTGCCTTAGGGCTGGATATTTGTTTCGTCGAYCTGTGGKGGCAGGGATGCCTCTACGGGTGATCTGTGACCCAGAGAAAAAACAGTCCATAGTAGCCGAGTTACATGACGGTGTAGTCGGAGGACATAGAGGAGTAAAAGGAACATACGAGAAGGTTCGCAGATTATATTGGTGGGAAGGACRGTACAAGGATRTTGAAAMGTACTGCGAAACTTGTGAGGAGTGCCWGAAGAGGTCTCTTATCAGATATAAGGAGCCGCTTCACCCTTCATATCCWACTAGACCAGGAGAGAAAGTGCATATTGATCTGGTGAAGATGCYGWAGGGTGTAGGGAACATGAACTATGTAGTTAACATCAGGGATGATTTYACTGGTTTCATYGATGGCAAACCTATCAGGACAAAGGCAGCAAGAGAAGTTAAGAAYTTCGTCCTKGAGTATCTGTCTAGATACGGATGTGTCAGTAAGATTGTGATGGATAGAGGAGCAGAGTTCCTAGCAGACGAGGTACAGAGCGTATTCAAGAAAGCGGGAGTTAGAGTATCTATTGTTACTGCCTATCACCCTCAATCCAATGCACCTGTAGAGCGAGGGCACCAGTCGTTGATTGCGTCCTTATCCAAGTGGTGTAGAGGGAAGGATAGCGACTGACCGAAGTATTTCAGGTATGCGATATGGGCGGACAATGTTACWGTYCGAGCTAGCACAGACTACCCTCCTTACACTCTATGGTTTGGGAGGCATTGTCCTCTKCCTATAGAGTTCCACGTCGATATTTGGACGACGATTAATTGGGCGGATAGCATGACACGGGAGGAGCTCCTAGCCGCTAGGACCAGACAGATAGCATACGGATTGGAGGATAACCTCATGATTGCGGCCAATCGACTCGCAGTAGAAAGGGAAAAAAACACAGTGAGATGGGACAAAGACGTCAGAATCATAAAGGAAAAGATTAAAGTCGGCGATATGGTGCTCCTCTACGACGCCGCCTTGGAAAGAACATGGACTGGGAAACTGGTTAACGGATGGATGAGGCCATATCGTGTAGTTGGTGCGTTAAGCTGGGGAGCTTACATGATTACTGAGCAAGATGGGTAAAGTGGAAAGATCCTGTGGTCGGAGCTAGACTGAAGTTGTTTAGGTTAAGGGAGACTCCTACTCCTGCTCCGAGAGCATCAGATCCCAAAGGAAAGGGTAAAGCTAAGATGACGGACGGATGACCGTCAAGACGGTTTGAGGTAGGTGAGAGTTCGAAGAAGAATAAGAGAGTGGAGACCAGGAAAGTGAAAGGCTTAGCGTTGGGCAAGAGAAAGAAATGGGTCTTTGTTCTACAAAGACCTAAGCGCAGGGTCCGCATTAGGAAGGGTGGCGCAGTTTACGCACGACCTTCCCAACGAAGGAAGAAGCGGAGGAATATTCCGGCATCAAAGTCCAAACGATTGCGACATAAGAGAGGGAAGAAACGCCCTCTCAAGCCCTGAGTTCCTGTAAAATTAAAGCGCCAAGCAGAGAAGTGGAAACATACTCGACGTACGCGTGTAGTCCACTTACATCTGATACGATTCATCTGATTGAGATTAGCGGGCTCGACAAGGGCGTCGAGAAAAGGTCCGGACTTGTTTGTCGGGCGACCGAAGGCTAGTCGATCGCCCTAATACCGGGAGATTGACCCGTAGAAAAGTTGTCTGAGAGGGAATCGGTCGGGAGTCCTGTCTGACCGGCTGGGAGAAATTAGGGGTAATCAGGACACCCCTAAATTAAGGCGTGTCGATCGTTAAGACTAGCCCTCAAGATTGGCGAGAATGACTACCGCTTCGCTGCCCTAACGGCGACCTTATTGTCTATCTCATTTCCGCCGCTCCAAGCCTGTTCCCGAAACGACTGGCTACGGAGCGGTGATTTGGGAATAGGCTTTGACAAGGCCCTTTTTACGCTGTCCAACGGACGCGAGAATAAAACTTCATATTCCATTACATTTAATAATAAAATTAAAAAAAGCAAAAGAAAATAAAAAACAACAGAAGAGAAGAGAAAATCGGGATAATCCTTATTTTATTGAATTTCTTTAATATTTATTTTTAATGAAACCATCCTCATTATTTATTATTTCTGATAATAGAATAAAAAATGAGATAAAGAATCAAAAACAATTAAAGAAGGAAGAAATCGACAAATATTGGATATTTAATTAAATTCCATCGGGTCCGTCTTTGACAMGATCACTTCTTTTCTCAGTATTTTTCGATAAAAGAATTAAGAAATAGAAAAAATAATTAAAATAACAAAAAGGGAAAGAACTGACGATCATCTGATATTGGACTAATCTTTATCTAAATTCTTTCGCGGTGAACTTTGATCTCGGGTTATTTATTTGCTCTGATTCTAAAATCCTTTCTATTCACTGATGATTGAGATCGACTCCATGACCTACTTCTTTTTCCTGATAATCAACCTCGTAGCAGTTTTGAGTTTTTCG